CCAGATGTATACAATAAAGAAATGAATATATGTGAGTCGTTAGAATTAAGTATAGAAGCCTAAATAAAGATATATTAGTAACCGACAAATTTGTGTATATGTATGCGTGAGATATATTGATGTGGTAATAAACATGACATGTCACTACATACTACTACATCAATATCGCACGCATACATACTCACAAATTGTCGGTAAAACAGCGGATTTTTGGAGTTTGATCTAGAGTTTAGGATTCTCTTAAAAAATGGAAAAGTGATAAACTGGATTATAATGAAGAAAAAACTTGGCGTGCCCGGGTTGCATTAATTGCATTTCGGTAATAAACAATATGTAAATTTATATGAAAATAATATATACCTATATATATATTTTTTTATCTAACTTTCTTATCTAACTATTGCGTTCATATTTGTGTATATCCACAACTAATGTGTGTAATAATGTTTTTAAATATGTATTTGTATTACAAATATTTTATATACTATAAAACATGTGGAATATTGCATTTTAATACAACCCGGGCACGCCAAGTTTTTCCTTCATTATATCCAGTTTATCATTCTTCCATTTTTTTAAATTTTTGAATGTTTTTTACAAATAAGCTTTTTGAGGTTTTTTTTTAATAATGAGGCTAGTTTAATAACTTGGCTTTTTTAAATAACTTGGCTAATTTTATTGATTTCAGGACTATTTTTGATCAATCAATTTTCAAATAATTTTCAAGTAATTGTATATTTAAATCATTAAAAAAAATTGTTCTTAGTTTTAGAAAGAATATAATATGCGACATTTTTTATGTACTTGGCGTATATTTTTTCTTTTTTTAAAAAGATTTTTTAATATATATGGTAATGGACCACTTTTGTTTTGTTCTCACTCTAGTATTTTTCCGTATTGAATAATTGTTGATTGAATGCTTTAATCTATAATTTATGGTATTTTTTTATGGATTTGAAAATAAATTTGAGCGAGTAGACGTTTTTCAGCAGAACATCCACAATAAATTCAAAATTTTTTTGATGGAATTCTGGATGTGAAAGATGAAATACATCTCGTAAACTAAATTAATTTTTTAATAATCATATCTGATACTTTTATGCACAGAATAATAAGACGAATCGATTGGTGTAAAGAAAATACACAGTTGCTTTGCACAAAAATATGTAATTTTTACATACACTTTTAGCAAAGCAACTGTGTGTTTTCTTTACATCAATCAATTTATCTTATTATTCTGCGGATAAAAGTATTAGGTACAATTATCAAGAAAACAATAATTTACAAAATTTTCATATTTTATGTCGAAATAAGGCATAATAAGTATTAATTAAAGTTTGGGCAGTTTAACGGCATATGGAGTTAAGAAAAATTCATATAGAATTCGTTAGGTAAGATCCAGTCATGGCCGCAGAAATGCGCTTTCGAATTTAATTGTGTTACTCACATAGGCGGTCTTATTATAATTATAATTATTTATTAATTAAAGTATTAATAAAAGTATTAGTTAAATATCTCATAATGTATTGATTTTTCGATAACTTTATCCTAATACTTTTATATGCAGAATAATAACAAGAATCATATTATTTTTAAAAAATTATATTATTCCATTTTAAAAAGTGGAAAGACCTTCGTGTGACCTTGAAAAATCAATTCTTTTTAAAAATTAATTTTACCATTATTTGTCCCTTTCACCTCCTATAACTTTTGTTTGAAACTTTATTTCGTATCTTGCGTATTTTTTTAGATGTTTGCCTGAAAAAATAGGACACCTTTTACACACACACACACACACACACACACACACACACACACACACACACACACACACACACACACACACACGCACGCACGCACGCACGCACGCACGCACGCACGCACGCACGCACGCACGCACACGCACACGCACACGCACACATATACATACGTCTCTCTATATTATAATTGATACAATTTAAGAGCTCTTGTATTTAATTTTGTACTGATATATTCATATACTTATTCTTATATTTATTACTTTCTGTTGGAAAAATATAATATTGTCAGTTATTTAACAAATTGAGATATAAAATTTAACAGATTCTCATTAAAATTCAGATTTATTATCTTTTGTAGGAAATCTGTAACAGTGTCAAATATTTAATAATATCCAAATAATTTTACAAATTGTTATTAAACTATTCGCCAGATTAGGTACTTATTACAATATTATTTTAAGTGTGGCAATAATTACTTACTACAATATATAACATATAAGCAAATACGTTTTTCTTTTCATTTCTTTTGTAACTGTTTATTTATAATTTTCTATTTTGTTTATAATTTTATCCTTATATTTAATAACACTAATCTTTAATTTTTACATTTAGATTTAACAATACTAAACGTAGATATATGTATTTTACATTAATTTTTTAATATTTCTTTTAGTGATGTTACAAATAATACTACAAGACAATAATACTTTTCTTTATTACAATATATAAATCTGTACGCACGCATGAAACATATATACAAGAAAAAGGTAATGTAACTGTAGGATATTGCTTAAATAAATATTTAAAAAATTTTGAAGATATTATGTTGTAATTTTTTTGATTAATAAATTTAAATCATGCCTGGTAATAAAAAGTAACTAGTAATCACGAAGACTATACATAGAAAGTAGATTTGTAAGTTAGGTGAGCATTGTTGAGATAGATTACAGCCATAACCCACGCATTCACAGATAAGTTGATAACTATCTCGAGTGTAACGTCCTTGATAACATTTCTTTTGGCTATTTCGTGATTTTGCGCATTCGCGCATTATTAGACCATTATACGAATCCATAAAGTAATCTGAAATTGCCTAAGTATTATTATTTAATTATTTCAAACTATTATTTAGTAATATTAATATAAGTTATAAATTTATTTAATTAAATGATTATAGTCGAAATTACTTACACACATAAACAGCTTTACGACAATAAAGATGACCTGACGGACACAATTTTAAATATTTAATATGTACTTTATTAATGGAGCAATCTTCATCCTTTTTGCTGCTACATTGATAACATTTGATTGCAGTGCATTCTTCTTTTAATGTAAGTATTAATGTTATAGGTATACGTTACAGATGTAGAATTGCATAGTGAATAGTTTAAAAACAAAAAAAGCTATATTAATGAAAGATGCCTTTAATATTTATTTCACTATAACACTTTCCGCTCAATTTCTCAGTTAATTACTGATTGATCGATTAATTTACAATTCTTTTTAAATAAACAAAAAATATTATATAGCATTGCTTAAATTCTTTATTTTGGCGTAACTGTAACTACTAACTTTTTTAATTTAAGTCAAGTGCTCTTTCACTTAAAGCTCACCTCTTTGAAAAACACATAGAATCAATAATATTCGCAATACGTGTAATCTTATTTGCATTATAACTTCTGTAATTTTTCATTCAGACATTATAGACTATATAATGAAGATAACGTTTGTATTAAAAGAGAATAATGGCTGTAAGAAATAAAATTCATATATTAATATTAATTTTTTTAAATTAATGGAATTTTTTATAATAAACAATTGTTTAGAAAGTATACAACGTAATGCACATCACAATATCTGTACGTTAAACGTATAATGTTACTTAAAAAAATTATACGTATATAAAATGTGCAATATGTAAAAAAATAATAAAAATTCTATAATTGATTGTTATCGTATAATTAATTATTACAATAATGCAATCGGTTCCATAGATTAATATATTTTAATAATTTCATTATCTAATTATTGCAAAATATTTCTTACCAAATATTTCATTGCCTTTGAATAAATCTGAAATCTGATATATGTAAAATTATTAGAAAATTAAACCTTTTCAGGCTAGGTTTTGAAAAATAACCAATACTTTGTCAATTAATTGAAAATTTGTCAATACGAAGTTGGCAACATAATAAATCAATCAGATCTTATTTTTTTAAGATCGATTTGATTTTTAACATATGTAGATATGTACAATATGTTAAAAATAATTCAGATTATATTATAGATATTTTTAAGATTTCTGTTGCTATGAATTCAAATGTAAATTATTTATATGTTTTATTTTTTATCATAGATATTCAAATAGATTAACACTGAAATAACATTGTAAAACAAATATTAATGGTACAGATCATAAATGTTAAAAGTATGTCAGGGCAGGTGTAATAGCGGGTCGCTAAAATGCTAAATACATTAATAGTAACCACAATGAAAAAACTATTTAATATCAATTCGCACATACTTGTATATAGATATACTTTGCAATCACGTACGAAGCAGCAACGTATGATTTTAAAGTAAAATTAAAAACAATCATAATTATATAAAGAAGAAAAATATTATGGCTCTTGCAAATTAATGGCTCTTCTTAACTTCTCCGTTATTAAGACAAATTCTAATTATTTTAACGAAATCATTTATTTAATAATTTATCGTTATGCAGACGTTAATATATATGCTAATACACAATAGTCGGCATTTGCTATAACATATTTTTACTTTTGAGCACTCTGAAATGTTTTTAAAATACATTTTAACATTTAGCATTTAATTATACATATTTCCTTATTCAATTTTCAAGATACGTTTAGCATTTAGCATATAATTATACATATACAGCACACATATATTCAATCAATATTTCAGAAACGTTGAATTATAACATTGCGAATGTTAAATCAACGTTTTAAAATATAGATTCAACGTTGAAGAGATATTGCAGAAACATCTAATGTCCGTTGAAATTAATGTTTTTAGAACATCTGTAAGACATTGTAATTCAACATTGTTTATTATTAATTTAATCCTCACAGAATAATAATATTTATTAGATATCTATTCGATTTTTATGAAACTAAAATAAAAACCATTATAAAACGTTAAAAAAAATAATTTACGTATACGGTGTTTCCAAGGGATCAATTCCTTCTAAACTAATATTCAGATCCAACGGTCACCCATCCAAGCCATGACCGCCACCAACGTTGTTTAGTTTCTGTGATCAGGAATTGCAGATTTGTGATGATCCATGATTACTTAATGTTTATATCATGGATATATATTCGTGATAAATCAGATTAATAAAATTATCAAAAAAACGAAAATATATCTTTTTATAAATGTTAACATACAATAACATGATCGATAATCAAAATAACCAATATCGATTTCCACGTAAAGATTTAAATATCGTTCGTAAATGAGCTTCGTTAGGAAATTAAGTTGAAATCGTGATAGATTCTATTTACGTAAATTTTCATATTTAACAAAATTAACTAAATTACTTGCTGTCTCTTATACACATCTCTG